AATTTAAATTTTGTTTTTACAAATTATTTTATGATTAACTAAGAGGCTAGTGCCAATAAATAAATCAAACAATCTGAACTTTTGTTCGAATTGTTTATTTTAGTTTGAATCTAGATAAATATGTTCATTGAATTGTTCAAAACAAACTTGTACTTTTTACAATTATTTTTGATTGCATGGCCTCTTCTTTTTGTCAACTTTTCATACACTCAAAAATAGTTGCTTGTTTCTGTAAAAGCAAGTCTTGAATAATAAATTCTTTTTAATAAACTCCAAAATTCCACACTTAATAATGTTTTAACCATCATATGAAAGTTGATTATTTACTGGTCCAAGAAAGTCATAAAAATAGAAAACTGAGATATATTAAAGTAATAAAATCATATGTTCATATAATAAAGGACTAATTGATACAGAAAATCAACAATAAAATCATAATTATTTCCAGTATTAAAATCAACAATGCTGCATTCTGTACTTATACCAAAACTAATGACGAGCTTATAAATTTCTTTGCTATAATGATTATACATACTATATGATTATAGATATTATATGTTAATATTATTTTCATGCTTTTAGGCAAATTTTTTTACAAATTTTATTCAAAGATTTATTTAAAGATTTAGAGATATAGTAGTGGAACTAAATTTGCCTATATTAGTGAACTATGCTTAGAGATATAGTAGTGGAATTAAAGTACTTTGAGAGGCCTTGTTAAAAAACATTACGCAGCTCACTTTTTTTGTACATGTTAAAAGCGTTCAGTTGAGCAAAAACTTTTTTGCAAAATATAAATCTCGAAATCGTTCAGTTGAAAACATTTTTAGGGGGAATATTTAAATTATCTTTTCACATCATTTAAGTGACGTTTATTCAGAAAATTTTAGATCATAAAAAAAAAAATTTAACCCTAGATTTTAGAATTTTTTAAAGAAACAAATTAATTTATAAAAACAAAATTGATATTAAAAGACTTTAAATCAAACATAATTTTAAAAATTTTAATTAAGTTTCAAAGAAATGTAAAATAGTAAAATGTTGAATGTAAAATTTAGTTTAGAGCGCAAGATAGATCGCAATTTTATTTACTTTAAATTTGCAGTGTACGTTGGAACTATAAGAAATTTTGTTAATTTTTTTTCTTATGTTAATTCAGTTATTACGTTTATTGGTTTTAACGTTGTTTAGGTTTTCAAAATGCTTTTGCTATATTTGAGGTTTTCTCTCAATACTTATATAATAGGAAAATAAAAAAATATATATTTTTTTTTTTTAATATTATTTGATCAATAATTTTTGTTAATGACGGATCAAGTTAAATAAAAGAATAACATAGTTTCTTTAATAAATGTGTTTACCGCATTTGATGTATGTCTGAAATTGTTTCTTTTATATTACCTAACTTACAATGTTATTACGAGTTACTAGAGATAAAGAACATAATGATTGATCTATTTAAAAAAAGTGTATTTAAAAACTTAAAAAAAATTATACATAGGATCCTAAAAATTTAAAGAAAGTTCAGTAAACTACCAATGCATTAGCCTACGACAACAACAACAAGATTTATTTTCCTTTTCAAAATTTACATATAATCGTATAATAACAATAATAATATTATTATCTTTAACAATACAAACAATATAATTATAATAAAATATAACTAATAAGAATAAATATAAATAATCATTGGAAAAGGAAGGTGTCACTCAAACAGAAGCCTGATCAAAGGAGTGACACCAAATAATTATAACAACAATAATTAAAAAATAATAATATTATCTATAATAATACAAACAATATGATGACATTAGTGTCACTTATGATCAAAATGAGTGACACCAATTAACTATAACAATAAGTATAATGATAAAATAATAATAAAAATAACAAATATGAACCGAAATTCGCTAATAAAAATCAAAAACAAAAAAATTTACAACAAAGATTACAAACAAAACATAAAATTGCGGTTGATTAAATTATTACGTTTTGTACTTTTGGTAAAAAATGTGATAATGTAATCAGCCGTAATTTTATTAAAATAATAACGTAAAACCCTATCTCTAAAACAAAAACTGAATATACACCAGCTCAGCAGATACATCATCGCCCTTGCAATGACGTAAACACAGTTATACAAAAAAAATGATTTAACGAATATAACAACTGTAATATTTATAATTATAAGTAATATATTTAGAAGTGTAATACACAATTAGTTGTTAAATTAATTATAAAAATAAAATAAATAAGAACTAAAAGGGTTTATTAAATATAAATTTAAAATTTTCAAAAATTAAAATAATGCATTTAAATACCAATAGCAATGAAAATAATATTAACAATAATTATAGCAATAATCATTATTAATATTAACAATAAATATTATTAATTAATAAAAAGAACAAATATGTTTAGCATTTGATAGTTTAATAAGCAGTCCAATGTTCAGAGAGTGAAAGAGGAGGTTATATTAGAATTTATAAATAATATTTGGAACGAAAATTTGTGCAAAAATATTTTTAAAAAATAGAATCTTTCATCTTTTCAGTAAAAAAAAGTAGAGCAGGATAAATTTTGTGCATAGTATAGGAAAAAAATCATTAAAGAAGTAATTTTTTTTTTTTAAGCAATTTCCCTGTAGTAACAAAAACCTGTTATGAAAATTTTTTTTCAAATAAATAGCAATTAGTTTTTTTTATAGCACAATTTATAAAGTATTTCCTTCATACATTGACTGAAAAAAGTCAGTATCAAATAATAACTTTATTTTCATTATATTCTTATCTACTTTTTAATTGTATCAATTTTGGTAGTAGAAAATAACAAACGCTCTAAAAATAAGAAAACAGTAAATATTTAGGTATATAATTTTTTTGAAAAAATTTTCTTTTTATATATATATATTTTTTAGCTTATTTTTTTCAGATTTTCTATTTCATATAGTCTTCATTTCTTTTGTTCAAGTAAAAGATGAAGATTACAAAGCAAGATAACAATTGACAGATGACTTTCCAAAGTGAATTCCAAAGAACTGATGTTTGAGGAAAAAAAACTAGAGGAATTAGAGTTTTTGGAGCATTTAGGATCAGTTACAGAAAAAGAATGAGATTTAATTGAATGACGAGTAACACGAGAATGAACTTTAGTAGATGGCACAAAAGACCCTACCTGTTTAGAGCAGTGCCCATTATAGTATCTGTAGAAAAGAGAAACAGAAGCAACATTACCACAATGTGGTGATGGTTGGAGGTTGACTGCAAGAGCAGGTCCAACAATGTCTACAATGCATATTTGCACCTTGTCTAAAAGAGAAAGGGCATCATTGAAAGATCCGCCCGAGATATGGCAACATATCTGTGTATATATATATATATATATATATATATATATATATATATATATATATATATATATATATATATATATATATATATATATATATATATATATATATATATATACAGTTTTATAATTGTTTTTGAACGTCACGATGTTTATTAAGAGTATATATATATTTTTTTTAACGAAAAATATTATGTATTTTTTACCTGATGATTGCAAAAGGCATGAAAAATAACTACATAATTTTTACTTTAAAAGTATATGTAAGTAGCTCTGATATCATTCAGCGAGCACTTTTGCTGAATATATGCAAACAACAAAATTATAAATAAAATAAATAAATAAATATATATATATATATATATATATATATATATATATATATATATATATATATATATATATATATATATATATATAATATATATATATATATAACATACAAAAACATATCCAAGTTATGGATTGAGAAAGGCAAAAGTTGTAAGCTTTAACAGGTTGCAGAGTCACTGACACCAGAGCCGAGCCAATCAGTGTGATGAGCATTAAAATCACCAACAACAACGATATTGGCCGATGGATAAAGGGATATTGCTAAATATCTGATTAGCTGATGGATAAAGAGATTTGATTGAGATTAAATTTAATAAAGAGATTAATCTTAATTGGCTGATGGATAAAGAAATATTGCTGATTTATTCTCTAGTTTCTTTTAACTTTATTTTGCCACGAATTCCAAAAATGCTTACTATATAAGAATATGGACAAGTTGACTGAAAAAAATTGTTTTAAACATGGATGTACAAACCATGCAACTGCATGCGATTCCCATGAAGGCTTGCATTATGTAAAATACAAGTTTTTCCATCATAGATGATCATAGATTATTATAATCGAAAGTAAATTAAAAACTTTTCTTTCTTATAAAAAGGGAGATACAAAGTGCTTTAGTTATCGTGTAGAGTTATTTTGACATAACACATTAAAGAATATGAATAAAGTTTACAAATACCTTATTGGTAAATGTTAAAATCTATAAATTGTTTATAATTTTTATTAAAAATACTACATCAAATACGGGAAAATTAAAATAAATAAATAAACTGTGATGAACAAACAAAAGATTATGTTAAGTACAAGATTGTTTTAAGAAATAAATTATAAGAAAACATAGGATTTTGTAAATTGTTTTTTTATATTTGTCAATACTTTGTTGTTGTCAAAAAAGAGCACATATTTTTTTGACAAAATAAGAGCTTAATTCAAATGTAAAACTATATGACATATGTATCAATTCGTTCTATATCTGAAAGTAGAAAAGTGAACTTTATCAATATTTAATTATTACTTTCATTTAAGCAAATTGTTTCTAGTTTACACATAGCCCTAAAATGAAAAAAGAAAAGAATATATGAGATATTCACTAAATAGGAAAGTTTTTATAAAAGATAGCCACAGGCAACTCAATAAGTCAACGTATAATCAAAATTAACAAATGGTTACTTTGAGTAGCCCTTTTGACAACCAACTTAAAGTATAAACCTGTGTCTAACTTAAATCAAACATATAATGAATAGGTATTGAAAACATGTTCACCTTGCTTATAACATTTGTTATTCAATATTCATAAAATTTTACTCGCAACATACCTTTTTATCGTTAAGTTCATCTGCAGATGAATCATAACTTTTACTATAATGCCTTGTTCGCTTGTTTTCAACTTCAGCTAAATAAGCAATTTTAGCCAATGATCCACCTAAATAAATATTATATCTATTATCTATATATATATCTATATATATATCTATATATATATCTATATATATATATATATATATATATATATATATATATATATATATATATATATATAATATATATATATATATATATATATATATATATATATCTATATATATTTATATATATATATATATATATATATATATATATATATATATATAATATATATATATATATATATATATATATATATATATATATATATATATATATATATATATATATATATATATATATATATATATATATATATGTATATATATATATATATATATATATATATATATATATATATATATATATATATATATATATATATATATATATTATGTATATATATATATACTCTTGCATGGTAGTCAAAAAGAGTTTCCCATAAACTGAAGTTTTAAAGAGCGCATTAATAAACCAGACCAGAAAAAGTTTAAAAACTTAAATTTTTTCTTTTAATTGATAGACTGCCTGCCCAAACCAAACCCTCAGTCGATGTAGCAGCACTCCCTTGCGAGTCAGGCTATTTGTCAGTTGTTGTAGCAGCACTCCCTTGCGAGTCAGGCTATTTGTCAGTCGATGTAGCAGCATTCCCTTGCGAGTCAGGCTATTTGTCAGTCGATGTAGCAGCACTCCGTTGCGAGTCAGGCTATTTGTCAGACGATGTAGCAGCACTCCCTTGCGAGTCAGGCTATTTGTCAGTTGATGTAGCAGCACTCCATTGCGAGTCAGGCTATAAGATAGTCGATGTAGCAACATTAACGCATGTTTTAAAAATGTTTTTTAATAAAACAAAAACAAAAACAAAAACACCACTAATTAAAAAAAACTTTCTAGTCGTTATAATTGCGATTTTTTAAAATTTTTTTAAAAAACAATAAAATTTAATGTACTTCCGCATTAATTTAATTGCTTTGACATTTCGACGACAATCAAAAACAGCTTAAGAGACGAGGTAATTAAAATTGTAGTCGAAAGAGACTTTTTTTTACATTAAAACGCTCTTTCGACTACACTATAAGGATATATATATATATTATATATATATATATATATATATATATATATATATATATATATATATATATATACATATATACTTATATGTATATATATATATATATATATATATATATATATATATATATATATATATATATGTATATATATATATATATATATATATATATATATATATATATATATATATATATATATATATATATATATGTATATATATATGTATATATATATATATATATATTTATATGTATATATATATATGTATATATATATATATATATATATGTATATGTGTGTATGTATATATATATATATATATATATATATATATATATATATATATATGTATATATGTATCTATATATATATATATATATATATATATATATATATATATATATATATATATATATATATATATATATATATATATATATATATATATCATAGATCATCTAGGTCATATTTTAAAAATCCGGAAAATCAGTAGGATAAAATATCCGGAAAATATTCGGAATATATTTTCCCTAATATTCCTCTAAATTTTGATTTTAGCTGAGCTATATTTAATTTTTTTTTATTTTTCTTAATTTTTGTATGAGTAATGAGTACAATATATTCCTAAACTTGTATGTATAGAAAACATTTTTGATATCCGGAAAAACTAAAAGTTTAAAAAAATATTCGGAATTCTGGAAACATCCGGAAAAAGATAATCTCTGATATATATATATATATATATATATATATATATATATATATATATATATATATATATATATATATATATATATATATATATATATATATATATATATATATATATATAAGGATTCGAATTAACACAAAAAAATCTAATCGGAATAAAATTAACTTAAGCTGTAAAAAAATTTACAGCTTAAGTTATTCTTTAAAGTTCAAGTTCAAGTTATAGTGTAATAAGCAAGTAACTTATTAAATACTAAGATATTACTTTTAGTTTGTTTTTACTTAACATGGTTCTTAAAAAAGTAAAAGTATAAAATAGTAAAAACGCAAATATTACAATATTTAAACCACTTTAATCATAGAAAACTGTTTAATAATTTCATGCTGACATTAAAAAACTTATTATTTTTAAAGAGTATTTAATTGCTATTGTTAAGCTTTAAAACAACAACGAAACAAACGGCAAAATTCTTTTAACAATATAAAGATCTTTATTTAAAGAAAAAAACATTAGATACCATGTTTTTTTATAATTTATTGTTTCTTGATCTAGGGTACTTTCAAATGACTTTTAAAGGTATCCCCAAGTACCGAGACAAGTTGTGTTCATATTTAAAAATAATTGTTTGGGCTGAATACTTTTGATTAAAACTAAATAATGAATACACACCATTAATATTAAAATTTATGTTTTAGTTAAAGCTTGCAGTCTCCATTTTTTTTGGTTCTCGGAGTCTGTATGTTAGCCACAATCTGCAGATTTGATAATTTATTCCATGCGTGTTTAACTCATAACAGTTTTGGTATATGACGTTATTGCAATATCTTTTTAAGATAACGTTTTTTTATTATTATTTTTTTAAAGATATAAATATTTTTTCCACTACAATCAGAAAATCAAATATTTGTATAATTTTTTACTAAATCACAAAAAATATTTGTGATTTAATAAATTATTGTACAAATATATATATATATATATATATATATATATATATATATATATATATATATATATATATACACACACACACACACATATATATATATATATATTTATATAAATATATGTATATGTATATATATATATATATATATATATATATATATATATATATATATATATATATATATATATATATTCACATTTATAATTTTTTTTCTAATTTGCTTTTTTTTTTTTAAATTTTTTTTTTATTACTTGGTTTTTATTACTTTGTTTCAGAACCCAGCCAAAATCATGACACATAAATATTTTGTGATTATTAGAACTCGCATGTAGAGAAAAAATAAAAGCAGTATGATGCAGTTTTTTGTTTTATATTTAATTCATATGGTTTAATAGAGTTGTTTGTTTAATGTTAAATTTACATTTAGTTATGGTTTAACTCTTTCATTACTGCATGCCTGTGGTAGCGGCTTTCGAGTATGCTTAACAATTTATCTTGTTTTGTAAACTTCTATAAATATTTATATTGTTTTATAAACTTCTATCCTAGACACATAATTTGTTTGTTCTAAAGGTTTAATAAATTCTCTACATAACCAAGAAATATTAAGAGCTATATTGTATAATTATAAAAGTTAAAAAACCTCTTTAAATATAATTATAAAATAAAACAGCGTTAATACTGTAAAATTTAACTAGTAGAAGTGTAAAGTATTTAGTTAAGTAATTACCAAAGTCTTTTGAAAAAAAAAATTCTTTTTATTTATTAAGCGAGCTTTGTTTTGGACTTAATGTTTTTGTTTCTATTTATAAAAACAATGGTTTTAAGTACTTTGCATTTCTTATTGTTTAATGAAACTTATTTAGGGGGACCTAAAATAACAAATTAAAAAAAAAAAAATTTAATTAAAAAGTACATTTCGTTGTGTTGGTTTGACATGGTTCTAGCTAAAAAATTTTATATTAGGAGAATTGAAAAAAAAAAAAAATTTTTTACATGTTTATTTAAAGTTATTTATATTGTTATTTTATATGTTTATGTAATCTTTTTTTTGATTGATATATAAAAATACTTAAATAAAAAAAAATCATATAAATATTTTTATTTAGACATTAAAAAAAAAGAGATAAAGATTTATTTGTTATTCTTTTAATATAAAAAAAATCGGTTAGAACCTTGTCAAACCAACGTGAGGAGTTGTTCAGCCTTCTATTAATATATATATTTTTTAAATTCACCTCCTCAAGGCCGAGAAGGCCACTACAGACGGAAGGCTACTTATTTGTGGTAATAACCCTCTCTCAACTCTATAACTCTGAAACACGAACCTTGACAAACAAGGCCGCTGCGCAGAGAAACAAGTTGAGCGCTGTACTACCAGGGACATGGTGGGAATCGAACTCGGAACCACTCGTTTATGAAGCGAGCGCTCTACCACTACACCACTACCGCATATATAGTTTGTTATGCTCTTAAAGAGACATAACATTACAATTTAAAAATAGCATAACATTGACAATTTAAATTTTAATTTGAATTGTCAATGTTATGCTATTCAAATTTTATTCAAAAAAAATGTGTTTTTGCTGCAAAAAGATTTTTGAACGGCTGGTAGCAAACAAGTTAATGCGATTCTTCGTTTTAATATTTATATTAAAACTATTTTTCGTATATTTTAGTACAAATATTTGTTTTAACTTAAATTTAGTTTGATTTGTACGGTTATTAATAAAATAATTTGTTTAATATTTAGCTTCTACTTAGCTCAGTTCATATGTATTATTCAACTCAATCGTCTTTTATTCAGGTTATACTTAAAATTAATTTATACGATTTAGTAAAATTATTCTTTTAGCATCTAGTTTAAATTTAGTATAAACCAGTACGGTTTACTGCAAATATTCGTTACATATTGAAAGATTTAGTAAAAAGTTATACAATTAACATGATTTAATGATTGTGGCAAAAAAATAATACAATTTCTTGAAAAAAAAAAAAATTATACGATGTCATCATATACCGAAACTGTTATTAATTAAACATGCATGGAATAAATTATCAAGTCTGCTAACATTATACAGACTCCAAGAACCAAAAAAAATGGAGATGGCAAGCATCAACTAAAACATGAATTTTAAAATTAATAGTGTGCATTCATTATATAGTTTTAATCATAAAAATTTAGCCCAAACATTTTTTTTAAAAACATTTTTTTTAATATAAACACAACTCGTCTCGGCACTTGGATATTCCTTTAAGTTGGTGTTTTCATTAAATTTTT